CCGTTTTTTTTAAAGGTGGGGTGGGGCGGGAAAGGGGGGGGGGGGGGGTTGGGGGGGGGGGTAGGACTGTGCTCTAAGCAGCACAGAATATGAAACCTTGAAGTTTAACTTTCACTGTACACACACACAAACCCATCCGGTGACATCTAATTGAAAAAGAGAGAGAGAGAGGGTTGTCGGGGTTAAAAAGGAGCTGATGCATTGTGGAGCCTGAAGAAGATAGACCCATTTTTCATGAGCTGAGAGAGTGCGGAGGTGGGGTGGTCCACTTCATGGTCCGGCGAACTGAGTTTCTGTGAGGCTCTACGCATTCCTTCCCTGGCTGACGGGAACAGAGTCACAGTCGATTCGCTCAGTCGGGTTGGGTTTGCCTCGGTGCGCAAACTCAGTGTTTCTCCAATGATGGCTTCTGGTGATGAGAGTGGTGCTGCCGGAGTCTGGGTCCTTTGAAAGCACAAATATTCAGCTACACGTCAGCTACTATTTGAAATCATAGTTATTTCTGGTATACGGTCTTAATACGACGGTGTTGCTATTAGGTGTAGATTAGGAGCCCACTTTTTTTTTTTAACACTGTAAACATTAAATGTTTACATCTATTATGCTAATAATAATAATAATAATAAAAATGTATAAATAACGGTACTTGAAATCCTTTTCAAAAGATAATTGAGATCCTCATTGCAGAAAATGGATGGCTGGGAGGTGGTGCTAAGGATGCCAGGACTGACAGACTCAGCAACATGGTTTCTGTTTCATAAGTAAGGATGCTAGCGAAAATGTTAGCAGCAGTTAGTGTGCATAGAAAAAACTTAATTGTGAAAACAGAATACCAACATAAGGGTCCCAGCATGGTCAGGCTAGATCTAAAAAAAAAAATAGCTAAAAAAATGCAATCAGCAGGTCCAACTTTTTACAGAAACATTGCATCAATGAATCTGTAAATCTATCATCTATTGTATTAAAAGTGCTGTTTTTGCCAACCTTGACATATTTTTGCTGAGAGCAAAGCCATACAGTACAGAAATGTAAAGAGGAGTCTGTTTTTCTCTATAACTTTACTATAAAGTAATCAAAAAACAAAATATACACGTTATTAATTAGCCATCTAGGGAAACTAATAGTAAAAAAACACATTGGTAGACAGAAAGGTAGTGTCAAATTAAACAGAACATACATTTTCTGAATTAATTTTTATATATTATAGCATGGCTAACAGTAACTCACGGTGTTGTGCCAGTGGTTGTATATTTGGCGTCTGGAAGGTCTTGACAGTGGCGGGTCCCTCGCCTCCAGTTGTTATGACCTGCACCTCCAGTCTGTAGTATGTAGTCGGCCGCAAATTGGATACGACAAGCAGACTGTGATCCTACAAAGCCAAGGAGAGACTATCAGCTGAGATAAAACAAACATTCCCTATGAAGTTGACAGTACTTTAAGTTAAGCTGTAAAACAGAGATTTATTAGTTGTCTTTGCAGAAGCCAGACACAAAAAAAGAACAAAGCCTTTGTTTTCATAAGGCTGCTGCCAGTGTGACAAAGTGCGTAGTAGGTGGTTTTATTTATAGCTATGCTCGGGAGGCAGGGTGCAGATAGGCAGAATGTGTTGTTGATGAAGAAGATTATCTCAGAGTGGCTGTTTAAGAACTCCACCAGAGGATAAAAAGAGGGCGACATGAAGGCAGATGAAGAGTTTTGAGAGGAAAACCAGCAGCAGTGCTACCTCTGATCTATCCATGTGCCTCACTGCACGGCAACGCCTTATCACAGGATTCACTCAAAGAGTCCTCAGAACCTTATCTGAAAACCACTGTCACCTCTGACAGATGCTCTAAACTAAAAAAAAAAAAAAAATCAGAGGACAGGACGTCTTTTCCCAAACACAGCAAAAATTTTCTGAACGTGTACGGCAACGCTAGTAGTACACATTCTGGCGACATATGAGAAGCAACAAAAATAAGCTGATGCTGTGAAGAGAAAACTGTCGGTCTGGTTCCACTAGGATTAAAACGTACTGGAGGCAGGATCTGGGACTGGGATATGATGCTGTTGGGCAGACTGTTTTGCCGGCTCTCAGTGTTGATCTCCGCCCAGGTGACCTGGAAGCCTGTGATCCGTTGGTGAGGAGCCACCCTGGACACGCGCCACAGGAAGCTGCCCGTTATGTTTCCGTCATTCATGGAGAAGGAGGCCGTCAGATTTTCTGGCTTAGCCAGAACCTTTGGAAGGACTGAAGCTGGAAAGAGAAGTGACAGCAATAAATGGAAATGTAAAAGCTCGCATTTATTCCAGACTCTATTCCCCCCCCCCTATCCTTTAAATCCACATTTGCCAAAAAAATGCTTAACATGTTGACTTGTTCTTTCAACCCGGTATAGATTTTCTCCGTCATCCTGCTGATGCCACAAGACACAAAGGTATCTAATTTCTGTGTCTCTGCTAATGTGGATTGATTTTAAAATGCCCTTCATGTGTCAGGCAGCTGAATCCTCACCTCCCTCCCCCGGACAGGGGATGTGTTTGTGGGTCTTGCTCCGGATGGTAGCGCAGGACGGGGTGAAGAAGGTGGTGCTCTCGTCCTTGGAGCGTCTCTTGGACTTCAGCAAATGAACGGTGACTTTGTACTTGCAGGAGAACAGCAGACCCGGAAGGTTGATGTAGTTTTCCTGAGTACAGAAACAGATTTTTTCAGCCCTGATGACTCTGACTTGTCACCCGGTTCAGTCCCGGGTGACAAGTCTTCAGAGGTGATTTAACACACAGCACTAGAGGAGATCAAGTTCCTGCTTAGGCCTCTGACACACATCCCAGATTCCGATCGTACCTCAAACACATCCACGGAAGAGGTTAGCCTAACATTTTACAACGTAAAACGCAAAATCAGAGCTTCTGCACCTGAAATTAATTCACCATCATCAAACATTCAAAAAGTGAAACTTAAATATCATGTATTATGTATTCAGTTACACACAAACTGATTTCAGGTGTTACTGTACAGCATTTGCAGTGATGAGCCGGGTGATTTTCTAAGATAAGGAAGCTTAAGGGATGANGCAAATTCCAAAGCACATTTTTAGTGTACTCTGAGTGTACAGTGTACTAGAAAATGTTCAGTTCTAGTGTGTATTAGTGCATAAGATTATTTACATCGATCGTCTGGTTAAATTTTATTTTTCTTGGGAATGTACCCACATCAGTGGGAGAAAGTCCAGGGGCCGCAGTGTAACATTTCTATTTTGACAATATTTTTTTTTTATTCTGTTTTTGTAACATTCAAATTTTCTGAGAAACTGAATTTTTGAGTCATTAGCTGTAAAAGCCATAATCAAAGCAAAGATCAATTTATTGAGATGCACGAGTAAATAAGGCACAACCACAAGAACATGAGGACTAAAATAAGATGCAGAAACCACAGCCTGCTCACGGCCCGTAAATGTGGGTCAATGAATTCAGAGCAACAGCTTTTCACTGTAAACCTATTTCAAGATTTAATCATCTATTGATCTTGACAAAAAAAAAAAAAAAAAAAAAAAAGGAAAAGCTAAAACTTTTCCAATTTCTCTAAGGGAACAAAGAAATCTTGCTGACTTGTGGATTCAGACCTCGCAGTAATAAAGTCTGCCTACATTAATAGACGGTCCCTTAGGAGAGGGTGTATATTCTCTCTGATATGAAACAGCTTTGATTAAAAGTGAATGAGGCGCTGCGCTCACATAAAAGCCCAAGTCTGGACTCCTCCTCGGTGATATATGGAAAATACATATTCCCAAGCAACCGGAGAACTGCTTCCCAAAGAATGTGTTGATTGAAAGGCTCTGACAACCTCGATTAGGTTGAGAGACGCCCATTGCCGAGTTCCCACCTTTTCTACGCGTACACAACTCAAGACGGAGACACATGCAGTAGCGTGGCCGAGGCCTTTGGAGGAGTATAACCCCACTATTCCTGGAAACAATGCTCAAGCTTAAGTGTTTTATTGGCTAACAAACCACATGCCTGACCGTAATTACTGACTCATAGGACTGAAAACAACAGGCAGTGCAAACAAAACATAACAGGTCTCATGGTTCAGTCGGGGGGGTCTCTTTTCCCTGACGGAGCGGTCCTTTCTCAGCGTCGAGACAAAAGGTCAGGCACCCGAAGCATCGGCTTCAGCTGCTGTTCAGGTCGCAGCTTTGCGGGGCGACTTCAGCTGGACTGACCTGTGTGACGGATTTCTCTGGGCCTCGGGTCTCATTGTGGCTGCAGAACTCGGGCATCCACTGGACGTGGTAGCGACTCACCGTGGGGTCTGCAACAGATGAAGAACGAGGGGCGGAGAGTGGAATGTTAAAAACCTCCTCAGCATGCAGAACCTCAAGCCTTCGCAATGAAACAGTGCTGCATCACCAGGCTGGGTCCGGCATTTAACAAGCTGCAAAGCAATCAGATACCTCTATTAAACAAACAAAAGAAAAAATGACTTCAGAAGTAAACAACGATTACTGGTGTCAACCTAATAAGCCATAAAAATGAATAATGAATCAACTTTTTAACCACTAAAATGCCATTAGCTTTTTTTTCTTCTTTTTTTTGTTTTGTCTCTTGACAATTAAAAGGTTTAAAAAACTCATAAAATGCAGGTAGCACATGTCTCTGCAGGACTGCACATTGAAATGAAGGAATGACACAATCGAACCAAAATGCAAACTAAAATCTCAGTTTTACATGAATAAAAAATGTACGATGCATTTTACGAAACACGGTGGTATAGTCCAAACTTGTCCGAGATTTATATATATTTTTTTGAAATCGCACAGTATAACATACAGTAAAATCAACTGGCTAACACAATTGTTTTTCTCATTTTCTTTTTTTAACAGACAGTAATATCACTTTTTTCCTGCTATATCATTACAATCATCTTCTCTCTGCCTTATTTTCCCTAACAAAACATGAACATGAACATGTCAGTAATCATTATAAACACCAATCTCTGCACATGCATAGCACACTTTAAAAGACAATAGATTCCACACTTTAGTTACTTTCTCCAAGCAAACTGAAATGTAAAGTTAATAATAGCCACATGATTGACTCCAGTAATTTATCCAACTGGATTTGTGAAGTAATCACTTCTTGGACACCAGCATTACTGTCCACACCCAGGCCAGTTTGATATCGCCATGGACCAAGAGACATGTAGAGTTTAGTTTTAGAAGCCTGCTACATCCTGGAGAAATGTTTTATGGACAGATAAACCAAAGAATACGCTTCCTGAGCGTATTCTCAGGAAGCGTACACAAACATCACTCAAGGTTAGTTCTTTTAGCGCTAAGGAAAACGATCCAAACTCTCGTTTATGCAGAGGCATCAAGCTGTGACGCTGGTGCATTTCATGAAGAGAAGGGAATGGTGAAGAAGGAGCTCTACTTCCAAATACCTAAATTCAAATCATACGCATGCATAAAACAAAACAAAAAAAAAAATGGCTTTATCAATAAATTAAGGGAACTACAGAGAAAACAACAAACAGGTGTCCTTCTGTAGTGAAATAAATCTGGACATATTTACTAGTGCAGTTCCACAACAAGGCATCACTGTGATGCCACTCTGACATATTTCAATGATTCACAGATGGGTATCTTTTTAGGATATAATACACTTTATCGGAAAATCTTATATCTCCTGTTCCCATTTGTGGGTCCATATTAATGAATGGCTTTAGGGAGGGGGAGAAGCCCTTCTCTGTTCATACTTATGTGATATCATCAACATAAACTTCCTGCTTTGGTGAACCTTTCTTTTTCCTCGCTAACAGATCTCAGACTGGACATTCTTGCGTCTTCAGAGCATCAAGTGAAGTTGATCACGTCGACGGTTTATATGAAAACACAAGAACCTCCACATAAACTTATCAGCAGTGTTTATTTTACCATCACCCTCGTCTTGGTTTACAAGGGTTATAATTCCTTCAGCTGTGCCGCTCGGGTTTTCCTTTCAATATACTTCCACGATTAATAATTGAGTTGTGCTTCGTTCGCCCCTCAGCAGGGGCCTGCGTTGCAGTGGGGGAGATAAAAAGGGGTCCTTTGAAGGCTTAGACACGGGTCTGGCACTTGGAGCCCCTGAGCTCTTTGGAAGCAGAAGAGAGGAATTACAACGAACCGGGAAAATTGGGGAAAAAATAAACAAGATAGGCTTAGCCGGGTCCGACGGAGAGGGGAAGGGCCAGGTAAAACAAGAAATAGGACGTGGAAATCAGGTAGTGAACAGAAACTCGGCGGCGTTTGATGAATCACGACGAGAGGCGAGCTTCAGAAGTACCGCTGCGCAGAACTGCTGCGTATTGTCTGCGCGCTGAGAGGACAGCAGATACTTTATCAAAGCTGAGAGTGCAATATCGTTCCCTTTAGTCCGCTGGAAACAATCCAGAGGCCAGGCTGCTTTGGATCACAAACACAATGAGTGAGAGTTTAATCACGGTTCAGTTAACCTGTCCCCTCTGTCCGTCACACAAACCAGATGTCCAGAGACTCTCCGGGCCATCTGTGTGTCTTGTGTGTTTACATTAGCTGAGAGCAAGGCCATCCTTCAGACTGATGAGCGGCAGCGGCGGACGCTCACCGCAAACCGGGACCACAATACAAGAAACAGGTCCTGGATTAACTCTGCTCTGCAACGCAGTGATTCCCCAGCCACGCTTGATCCTTGTCAGCATCACTCAGCTCAGTGAGTCCAGGCCAACCTCGCTAACAGCTCTGCGCCAGCCCTGCTCCCCTGCTCTCCTCGCTCTGATTCAGCAGTTGGTGTCTCACCAGGCCTCTCCTACAGCCAGGGCTCGCATTCTTGACTCAAGGATGTGGAGTTTGGCCCGGGCGATGACATATATTTGCAATATGACATAGAGCAGCGAATGGGACTTGACAGGTTACCCTTAGACCATGGCTTTCAGGGTTTCCATACTTTCACTCCGGTATTAGCTGAAGATTTTTAAGAGAACGGATTCCGCTGGGAGAGGCATGCTTTAACCCCTCGTGGCGCTGGAACCCGCCATCGCGTCTCCTCCCTATGACATCAGCCTTTTTTTGTAAAACGAAACGAGTCTAATGTGAGAATCTATTAAACACAGCTGAGCTCGGGTTCTGTGTTTATTGTTCTTTGCTAAACGGTGGCTCCTTGCTAACTGTCCGTGTGAAGATTTTAACTATTCTGCCGAGCGCTCGAATTACAAAGGCCCACAGCAAGACACGTTGCTTTACTTACATCACTGACGCACCGCACTTATAAGCGCAATTGTTTAAGCGAGCGAGGATCAGTCATAACATCTTAATGCGGTGCACATGAGTCATAGTGATTGATGGGCATGACGGGGTGCTAATTTGGTGGGAGCAAAGCTGAAAAACAGAGCGCTTACCTCCCCGTTTCTTCCAGTAGACTCGGACCTGGAGCTGACCATCCTGGTAGAAGGGTGTGCCCACTTCCAGAGGCCCAGAGGGGCGTTTGGCCAACGTCGAGCCCAGAGGGGATATCTCCTCCTTCTTGGGCTTGTGGGTCGATTTTGCTGGGAACAGAAGAGAGAAGTGTTTGCTCCGGTAGCTAAGATACAACAGTGACTGTGTTATGGCACTCTCTTCAGCATGGTAACAGACTTGATTATGACTTTGGATGATCACAGCAGTGAACAATATACCGTGCCTCCCTCCCCCCGGCCCCCTTCCCAAAAAAACCACATCTTTCTACATGGGTGCTCTGTAACTGCAGGGGTTGGAAGTTCACACGTGCAAAAGAAGGAGCTCGTTCTCACTTAGACTTGATGCCTGCATGAACACCAGCTACAGATGAACGTGAACATGATGACGGTACACCTGTCCTGTCTGTGTTTGTTTGCGCTTCAGAGATATTCAATTCTAATCAGAAGTAAAACAAATCAAGACAGAAGCAAAAGGAGGATTTTGCCAGGTGTATCCAGGCTCAGTTTGTCATCTTTGTATGAAGATAAAAATCCACCTGGCATTGCGATGTATGTTCCACCAGAACATACAAACCTGGCAGGTTTCTTTGTGCATGATTTTGAGATATTGAGTTCAAGATTCACCTGTTGTAATATTGCTTTATCTTTTCCATTTTGAAGCCTTAGCGCGGCACTTTATGGCAACTGGGAAATAACATTTCCAATCTTCGCCAAGGTAAACTCAACGAAAAGCTGCAAAAAGATTTTTAGTCAGTGACCTAAAATAGGTTTCTCATCCCCCAACCTGCACATAATTACAGAATTATAAATGATGTTCCGAGAAAATAACTGGTTGGAAGTCAAACATCCGATACAAATCACTACGAGGTCGCATTGATAATTCGGCTGCACAACATCTGGAAAACATGTAATGCATCATTACATCACTACTGAAGATTTTTATGACAGTGTCGATTGATTTTAACCCCCGCATTTTGCTGTCTGTTGCAATAAGGACATTGCACTCAAAGATGTTGGGATTGCGATAGAAAATATTGTGCAGATCTAATTGACAACAACGCTCTTCGCTTTGGAAGCTGCTGTTGAAGGACAAACTGTCAAAGGCAACAACTTTTATTATCGGCGTGATATTTAAAGATGTCTGTGTAGGGAAAGTGGTGCTGTAGTTAAATATAAGGAAAACTATATTTCCTATGACATTTCAAGCATACCGGCACATCGTACAGGCTGCAAGCTTTTATTCAACCTACCATTGAATAAAAGCTCAGATTAAAAAAAAAAAAAAAGCTGGCAGCCTTCTGGGAATTTCAGCCTGAAGGTCAGGACATATGAATATGCACAAGAAGACTTCTCTTTTTGTGATTCTAGGCACACCAGGCGTTGACTAAAATGGGTATCAGTTTCTCTAAACATTACTCTAAAACTGTACCATAAACTTTTTCCAGCTACTTATTTCCAAATTTGCAATATCATTGCAGCTAGAGCGATTATAAATCCAATCAAAAGCGGCGGTCCACAGCACCGCTGCAATAGCTTCATGTTTGAAGTGGACTTAGTAGTTTGTCCAGACTTCATTTAAATTCTATGTGTAACAAGCTAAATTAACACATGCTGTTATTCTGCACTGAAAGCTGACATCAGCTGACAAGCATAACGAAACGAGCACAGATAAAGATGTTTGTGGGGATTCGGTTACCCGTATTATGCGAGCCTCAGGCAGCACAAAATACAAACCAAAAGGATTTGCAAAATAAGAAAGCTACATCTAAATGCCTTCATGTAGACGTGCAAATGAAGAACAGTATAGCAGCTTGAGTTGTTTACCTGATTCATTATTCTGAGAGGTACTGAAGTGGAGCGAGGCCTTGGAGCTCTTCAGGCGCACCTGTCCCCAGTATGTGACAGCCTGCAGCTCCACAGTGTAACTGCTGTTTTGTTGCAGTCCCTCCAGATCCACCCAGCTCTGAGCCTGAGACAAGAAAAAAAACAAAAAAAAAAACACTTTTAGATTTATTTATTGTTACTGTACGTCAGTTTGAGAGGCCTTTTCAAAGTCCTGTCACTGTACCGGCTCTGATTCAGCCGGGCCAGAGCCAGTGTCTTGCGTGTGGGAAAAGTAGTGCGTATCAGGAACACATCTGGAGCTGAGGAAGGTACCATGACCAGGGAGATAGCCTCCCGGGGGCCGTGTGAGAGAGCCGTGTTATCAGAGCCTCCCAGGGCTTCTTCACTGCGCTGGACTTCTAGCATTCCATCGTCAGCGTGAACCTGATGAGTTCCTCTTATTGACTACGTGTGTTTTGACATTCTTCAAGCAGCAGGCTGCTTTCAAAGCCCCCGAGGTGCCAAAGTGGAAACCAGTAGTACATGTATCAACAGTGTCTGGTGTCTCCCACCTCTATCTCCTCTGTGCCACATCTGCTATGTGTTTTAAAAACTAATTCAGGAGAAAAAAAAAAAATCTATAGGTGTGTGTGTGGACTGTCTAGACAATCCGTCTTCCTGCTCGGGTCTGTCATCAAATACTCTTCAGTGATAGTGAGCCACATGTGCCATTTGATCATGTGTTGATACAGACGGTTTCATGAATTTAAAAAAAAATACTGAAGCTCACAATTTTAACACAATCTTTAAGAAAAAAAAATAGAATAACGTTTTGCATGTTTTTATTGCACAAACACAAAACAAATAAAATGCTTCCTATGGCCTTCTTTTTGGTAATGTAGTTTTCAATAATTCAAACTGTATAATATACCAGACAGCTGTACCTTCATCTTCCCAAATTGCTACCGTTTGCTTAGCCATGCATAAAGGATGTCACTTTTTTTTTCTTTTTATACCAATGTTTTTAAAAAAATAATTAAAATTTTGTGAGAACAGTTTGCAATAAATAAATAAATAATTAAATAAATAAATAAAAGTTTTGAAAGTTATGTCCAAATACACTTATCGGGGACAGCACTGAAATACATTAGGAGCTGAATTAGGAAACATGCTGATTAACATTAGCACTTCAGCAAAAATGCTACACATTGAAAAAGGAGCAAACCTAAAAGTTTTTTCAACCCATGTAATTTTTCATGTATGTTTAAGTTTTCTTAAACATAAATGAAAAAAACAAAACAAAACTGATAATTTCTCTGTTTGTGCCAACAATTTGGTGTAAAAACCTTGGCCAGGCATGTCAAAGAAATAAAACAAGAATTTGTTCTTTCTGGGATAATAAAAATAGTTGGTAGAACTTTAGCATGCAAAAAAAATAAAAAAAATAAAATAAAATTACTAGAAGTACAAGAGCATTAATGATAGAAATCATTGGGCTCTGTTTTAAAAACCATATTTATGCAACAATTACAGATTGTTTCTTGAATGCTTTTTGGCTCTCAGCTTACATATGCTGATTTCATCTATTAAATTATAATAAAAATTAAGGAAGTGGGAGTACAGTTATGAAAACTGCAGTTCTTAAGCTGCTCAGATCTGTCCGAAATACAAAAAAAATAATCTAATAAATCACGTAAAATCAAGCAAAGCTCATTTTCGAAACAGTGAATTACTCAATCAGTTTGACTAATGACTTCAGAATACCAACATAACAAATCAGAGTGAGATATTTTGGAAACCCAGACATGTTAATCATGATTTATCACTTTGAACAGGGCTATTCATCACACTTAATGTGTTACCCTTCACATTTTAACATCATTTAAGGGTTCTTTCATCAGAATAAGGAATTAAAACAATGTAGCACATTGTTTTATTAAGTGTGACTGAAAAATACAAAGCTTATTCTGTGTTTGTCTTTTTTTCCCCACCACTGCATGCCAGAATAGATGTCAGAAGAAGTGAAGACAGAGAGGGTAATGATACCAACTGTGACAACACTGAGAAACAAAGAGAGAGAGAGAGAGAGAATTACCCCATTTGTGGTCTTTCTCCTCTTCTTCTTGGATGGAACCATCGACTTTGAGGGCACAGTCCAGCTCCAGAACACTTTGTAGTGATGGATGGGAATATCAGGCTCCTCTGGCAAGCTCCAGTTCAAACGAACCATCACCGTGCCTTCGTCGCCCAAAGTCACGTTGGTGACACGCAGATTGGTTGGGCTAGGAGGCGCCGAAGGGTCTGTGGAACAAAGGAACAAGAACAAAAAAACAGCTTTTATTATCTGTGAACATTAGATGTGTAAAATTAAAAAAATATACATTTAAAGTGAAGTCTGACTTGTGAAGCACTCTAGCTTCTGTTTTAGTTGTAGTATGACCCAGTTTAGATTTTGACCATTCCTTACTCTTTAGCTAGCCAGCCGGGCTTTATGGTTCCACCAAAGAAAGCATCTTTGTCAAAATAATGATAATGTTCCTCTGTCCTTCCATACTGTCGCTGCACCATATTGTTTACAGAAAAATGACTCTGTTTTTCAGATGCCCTAATGGAAATCTAAATTTGAAAATATTGCATTTCATCTCTTGTCAACATGTTGCTGTAGTTACACCAACATCTACTTCTGGCTGATCAGTCCCAGAACCCCCAGAGACAGGGTTGGCTTCGGCTGACAGGAAGTTGTGTTGTGTTCAAAGACAGAGAGAGAACTGAACTCTCAAAGGTTGTACATTCAATATTTGGGGGGAGCAGTTGTGTAGATATTTGTCTTAGTGTCTGTAGCAGTGTTTTTTTTTTTTCATGTCAGGTATGACATGAAAATAAAAAATCTAAGTGCTAAAATCTAGCACTTACAATATTTTCTTGTCTAAATGAAAATGCAAAGAGCTCAATAAGTTGGTAATAACTTGTGATGAACCAAATGCAATATATAAAATATCCACTTTAAGATAAATCACAAATGCATTAAGATTCAGAAGGTTTACATTAGTAATGTATCTTACAAAATAAGTGAAGATTTTTTCTTTTTTTTTTTTTTTTTGCATAAGCACCACCATTAATTTGATATGAGCATGAAAACCACAAAATATGGGCAAGACCAATTTGGAATGAATAACTTCATTTCTGAAAAAAAAAATAAAAGAAGATTTATGTTTTTTTCTCGTCACGTTCAGAAAAGCCCACGCGCTTAAGAAAAGGACATTTGTGACAAATTCTGTGCCAGACCAGTAATCTTGACTTCAGGTAGGAGGTACAATAGACCATGAAGAGCTTCACAACTAAACCCTGCACTGTGGCCGACAGAGGAGGGCAACAAGCTCCACCGACAATCTGCCCTGCGATGTTATGACAGGTGTCATGTCACGTTCGAGACAGCGCTCAGCCCCACTGAGAGCACGGGTCGAGGGTTAACAAACACATGCTGCTCACTTTGGCTCCACGTCCAGCATTAATGTACTTCAGTGCATGAATGATGCCCAGAGTAAGGCTGGCCCCAAACCGATCCATATGTGCGCCGGATGTTAGTCCGGCGGAGGAGCACCACCGCCAGATGAGAGGCAGCAATACTTTTAATGAGAAAATGATTCATGCCACAGCCTACTTGGCTCCCATTGCCAGGGACCTCTCCCACCTGAAACGCATTTAATCAGGTCCAAAACCACCAACTGGACACATCGAGTCTTTAAAACCGCTTCATGTCAGCTGTACAAGATAAATAAGCAGTCAGTTCTTACAAATTGCCTTAACAAAGTACGGTCGTGCAAAATTGCATTCAGATGATATGGTCATGTTACACAAACAACGGTTGCATGACAGAACGGCCGGCACTTCATCAAATCCCTGACAAGTCTCATCAATCTATCAGCGTTCTGGCACTGATTGGCCTGATTGGAGATCGGTTTCCATCCCTGCAGCACAGTCGTTCCCCCACCTGGTGTCTGTCTCGCTGTCTGACAGTCATCCATAATGCTCAGAGGAGCAAACGGATGATGAAGGACTGACAGCATAGGTCAACACACAGCCAAATACACTAATACCTTCTATATGTGGTATCTGATCTAGTATTTGGCAGAACATGGCGAGTCGCAGCGATCCCGTTTTGGTGTGTATGTTACTGGTATGATATATATGAGTGATATCAGTGGTGCTACAGCCATTACTGTAGGCATATTGGTTTGATTCTACATGGAAAATAAAACTATTAATCACAGGAAACGGTGTGGCCACAAAACTGGAATACGATAACAAAATGATTCAACAGTAACTTTAACGAATGCCATCTGCAAGGCTATTTATGAGGCTGAATAAAGACGTGTTGGACAGTAAAAATTAGATGGAATCAGAATTTATGCAGTTAAGATTGCACCTACAACACTCTTTTGTGCTGAGGCTGCTACCAAGGGAGTAAAATGTAAAGCTGCATGTAAGTGTTTGAAATTAAAATAAGATGTGGCAAGAAAGATGTGCTAAACTATTCTAAAAGGAAACTATTTTCTACTGACACACTTTGGCTGCTTGTTCAGGCTGCTACAACAGCTGCAATACAGATCTTGTCATTCTGCTATTTTCCATTACTTTCTATAAATAAAAATAAACCATCTACCTGAGGTTGTCAGCTGTTGTGCCCTAGAAAAGTATCCATACCCCTTTTAACCTTTGAACTTGTTATAACCACATATTTTTTCTCCACTTCGAACATATTTTAAGCAACATTAAAATGTATATACAAATCTGAAAAGTGTGGTGTGGATTTCTCCATAGTTTGATGGTACTCGTCAATAAAATCCAATGGAAACTTTAGCCTTCATTTGAACCCGTTATCAGTGAATGATAACTGGAGGAGCTACAGACATCCACAGCTCATGTGTCGGAATAGTCGAATGACATCGAATTTGAAATGGTGTGTATAGCTACTTCTACACACTTTTCCAATGCTAAAGCACAGTGGTGGTAGCATCATGTTGCGGGGATGATTTTCTCCAGTACAGACAGGAAAGCTGGTCAGAGATGATGCTGAGATAAAAGGAGGGAAATCGAGGTAAATTCTGCCATAAAAGCGGATTAACAACTCTAAGCATTCACCAAGAGCTCAGATAGTTTAGATCAGGGGTGTCAAACTCCAGTCCTCAAGGGCCGCTGTCCTGCAGTGTTTAGATGTGCCACAGGTAAAAAACTGTGGAATGAAATGGCTTAATTACCTCCTCCCTGTGTAGATCGGTTCTCCTGAGCCTTGCTAATGACCTAATTATTCTTTTCAGGTGTGGTGCAGCAGAGGCACATCTAAAAGTTGCAGGACAGCGGCCCTTGAGGACTGGAGTTTGACACCCCTGGATTAGATCAAATCCAAAACTGATGGTCACAGATGTTCTTCACATAGTCTGATTAAGCTTTAGCTACTTGTAAACAATGGGAAAACATTTCATTTACATTTTGTGTAAAGCTGTTAAAAACATTCCTCAACGTCTAATGTGGTTCTGCAAAGTATTGCTTGCCACACTTTTCAGATTATTAGTATAAATTTTGAATACCCTGAATCGATTTTCCTTCCACCTCACGACTATGTGACAATTTGTGTTGATCCAATAAGATACGCTTAAATTTGTAGCTGAGATGTGACAAAATGTGAAAGGTTTCAAGATGCTTAAGGCACTTTAAACGAGCTATTAGCCCAAATGGGCTTATAAAACAACACAGCGTACTTTGTCATTTTAATCCCATGAAGACAGGATTTAAGCAGCCTTCTAGAAAGAAAAAAATAAAGTAATAATTTTCTTTAGGTTGGGTTAATGTTTGCCTCAGATTTTATAAACTCCTTCCAAAAGCTTCCACCTGTTCCAAACTCCTAAACATAACAAACAAAGGCCAGTCGGAGTCAAACGTGATTTGGCCTTCATGTAAATATGCGTACATAGACAGCCATACCTCTGGAGGATCGGAAGTGCTTGCTTGGTGCAGTGAAGCCGCGAGTCCCATGGACATTGACTGCTGCAACTCTGAACTGGTACCATCTGCTGGCTCTGATGTCAGCCAGTTGGATGCGCTCCTCTGCGGTCTGAGGGACAGATGGGGGAGAAGTAAGGGGGGCAGAGTAAACCACAGGGGTCAGGGTTTACCTAGGGTCACAGCCCCAATGTGAGCCTGCTGCCACATCAGTCATCTGTGTGTTTCTCCCTGCCAAACTTTCAAAGACCCTGTGGCTGTGTGGAATGTGCATCGGTGTGCAACAGTCTGTTGGCACTCTGCAGCTTCACAGCTGTAGCATGACGCATGCAGGGATAAGGGAAGCTGTAAACTTCAGTGCGAGGAGTATCTGATTACAAGAATCAACGACCGAGGAGAGTTTACGGGATCCGCTAACAGAGACCTTCCCGTTGTGCGCCGTTTGTTTGGTTCCTACCTGGGCCACCGTTTGCCATTCCGTGGCATCGTCCTCGCTGGGATGGATGCCGTAGTTCCAACGGCGCTGCACCACGTAGAGGACCGGCTCGACTGAGATGTTAAACTTGGACGACCAGCGGATCTCCAGCTGACCCGAAGGCTGCTCCAAGAACACCAGATCCTTCCTCGGTTTCAGAGGGACTCCTAAAAGTACAGGATGAGTTAAAATCCCCTCTGTGTGCAACACTATAGCTCAAATTCAACAGGATTTCTTTTTCTTCTCTCTTTCTCTCCTGGGTGAACGGAGGCTGGAAAAGAAAAAGACAACATCTGAGCTGGGAGAGATACAGATCTGAAAATGAGACATGACCTCAGAGCAACAGATTTAATACATGCTGAGGGTTAACAGCATCATCTCTCTCTGTTGTGACAGGTTGTGATATTTCCTGGCCGGCGCTTTAATGTTTTAGTAGCTGCGCTTCTCAGTGATGATACACATAGTTTGCGTTTAGGTATGCAAGATGGAGTGCAGAACACTTTTCTCTCTCTCTCTCTCTGTCTTACAGGTGCAACACACACCAGTGCAAACAGGCGCACACGCACAGGATGTTAATTTGCATCTGTGAACTTCACTTTCAGCCCTTCAGACGAGGCTGACGTGGCCATGTGCAATAAATATAAAGATAAGAGATTTATAAAGCCCAGCGCTGAGGCAAACGCTCAGCCAAGTCCGGCAGAGGCTTTCAAGCTGATTTATTGCGGTGGAGATATAGTGAGTTGTTGACTGAGCGTTGGGCACAGTGATAATGAGATGGAGATTGGAAAAACAAGGCTGAAAGTACAGCAGGGGGCTGCACACACACGACACTGTTCCTAATAAATCACCTGTTCTCCTCCGGCTGTTATGCTGGACCTCTGTCGCCATTCATTGGCTCAATGCTGCTTCACATTTATGAACGGCGTCACTGCTTGCTCAAGGCCACCGTGCTGCGCGCCGGTAAACAACATTATCGAGGCCGTTTCCACACACAGCGTTTGGTCTGCTAATATTGCTATTGAGTCATTACACAGAGCTTGGAAACGTGCCTGGCTGGAGAACAGAATATCTGAAGGTAACGTTTGCGCTTCAAACTGATGTATCTGATTCTTTGACATGGGAGTCTGTGGAGATGCACCTAGAGTCACTATCCGACCTGAACGATCTCATTTTGGAGTTCAACTCTTACTGGGGAGATGAGCGCAGGCTTAAAGAGAATTTCATAAATCTTCCTGTCTGTGCAAAAAAAATTTTTAAAACCTGTACACCATTAGAGAGCTGTTAGAAGCCTAAAGCATGTCTTGGTTTAGAGCCTGATGTAAATTAGTTTCACCTGGTAAGTATTTGGAGCAAAAAGGGATGGGCTGCAAAAACAAAAAGTTTTATGATTGAGATTAACTACGGTTTACTAATCTTTCAAACAAATTCAGGAACGGGTGTGACCTAAATTTTTTTTTTCAAAAAAAAAAAAAAAAAAAAAAATCACTTTTTTTCTGAAGCAAAGTGATTTTGCTTCAGAAGCTAGAAGCTATAATTCAGTTGACTTTCTAAGCCTCCGACGGAGATTAGGATAACCTTTGGTGATTTCTGGAAGATGACGAGATGATTTGTTACTGAGGAGAAGCGGCATATCCAGCGGCTGGTGAGGCAAGCAGAACAGTCTGGAGACCAAGTGAGGACACAAATAATGTGGCGTTTTTGCAAATGAGGGCCAGGCTGGAGCAAGCAATAGGCTGCTGTGTTTTTAATTTTGAATCGTATCCATAGAAACTGCTCCTAGTACAACCGGATGTGCAGTTAACCCTCAAAATTATTCGTAACTCAGAGAAATTTAGATTTTAAATTATTTTTTTTTTGTTGAACCAAAATGTGTGTTTCTGATAGGAAATGAGACTTTAAAAATTTGCTGTAAACAACTACGTGTGCCTTTCTTAATAATCAATGAAATAATCTTTTTTGTGATTCTGTGACAAATATCTAAGTAAAAACCAGAAGGTTCAACTTTCGAAGGGAACATACACAGACACTCATGTCTACAGTTAGTAATGCTAGCCCAGCTAAAGTCGCTGATCGCTAATATCAGATATCAGACAGCTTAAACTGTCAACTCTGTAATCCCCCCCTGCCTTTGTGGTAAATTATTAGTGAAACCCTGTTTTACAGCAAGGGTTCGCTCAGATGGTGTGATGTTGCCTTTGCTATGTTATGAATAATTCAGCACCGTTCATGCCAGGCGGGCTAAAAAAAAAAAAAATGTTCATGTTTTTCTAACATATTTTTACCACTTAAGTTGTTAAAACCGATTGAAAATCAGCTAAATTTGGTGTTGCATATCAAAGCTTTGCCAAACATAAAGATTAAAAATTAGTCACCAAATTAAGATCAGTTCATCTCTACAACATCCCTTCATTTTTGATGCAAATAACCTTAGTAAGTGCCACTTCCATGAATCTCCATGAAATGTTTTAACGTGGCATGAATTCACTGTAGCTCAAGTTTGACAACCAGTTAGCTGGACTTTCCAATGACAATAAAATGACCACAACATCTCCAAAGAGCCTCATGTCAAAAGTTCTTAATTACCCCTTTGGGTTGCACGGTTACAGAGTCTGAATTTTGTTTTGTCCCACCGATAGCAAATCTCTGCAAACTAACAGCTGGGGGTCATTGAGCTGCGGTTTCACAGCTCCGCGGCGCTTTCTGAGTCTGCGTGTGTCCCTGTACGTGCGAACAAACGTGTCACATTTCCTGCACAATAACCAACACCGAGCTAACCACAGCATTCTTCTTCCCCTCCCGCTGCCTTTGCTCATCCTCCCAACAAAGTCACACAAGCCGAAACACATGTGTGCAAAATGAAAAATGAAAAACGACAAATACGACACACACACCAACGGTCTCTTCCGGTGACGTGGGGGGACAAATGATACACCTTTGCTCAAGTTACTCTCTCCAAAAAACAACTTCTGTGTCAAGTTTGCTCCAAACATCATGCAGTGTTCATCTATCGGGGGCCACACGCGTACTTCAAACCATGATGTAACTTCTGCCGTTCATTTGTGCCCATATCATGCCAAAGATTACACTTTGGGAATATAATTCTCAGTCCTCACGCACATACTGTCATGAGGACTGCTCTAATTATGGAAGCGCAGGAAAATCCTCCAAAAAGCTGCTTGTTTCACAATGTTTCCTAATGAAGTCAGATATGGCTGGGACTGATTGATGGAGTTGTAGCGACAGCGTCAACATGACTCACAAAATTTTATCTTAAATCTGACAACCACACTTGGTGTGTTTGTTGTGGAGCTGCTTTTGATCAGAAAACATCCAAAACTAGCTGGATTTCATCACATGTGCTGCCACATCTTCAAAGGAGAGGAGAAAGTGCAAAACTGTAGAGATGCTGGAGTCTTAAGCAGTTTGTAAAATTGCCCTTTCTATTCTTGAAAAGCATATTTTATCTAAGCCCTGTTTCCTCAAATAAAACTTTAAGAGGTGAAAGAAGATTATGCTTTATTGCAGATCAAAAGCTCAGCGGGGGCCCAGTGTTTCTGAGAGCTTGACGTTTCTTTTCTGTCCAGTGCCGTACACATGAGCCGAGAGGACCCTAACCTGACCATCCACATCTGAGAGTGATCTCAGAGTTGGGGAAACGCTCCATTTCTCCCCGCTACAGTTTGCTAATGGTTTCCAGGATCGGAGCTCATCACGGCGAAGACTACAAACACACGAAGAAACAATTACGCTCTTCAGAGCATGAGCAACTAATTAGACCTTTAACACCGACGACCGGGACAAAAATTCCTTCAGTGTAATTCAGTGTAAGTGTAGAGCTGATGGCGGTCTGTTGCGGGCCCGGCGGTGTTTGGGATCCATCAGATGTCGCTTGAGCTGAAGGTCTCGCAGCAAGGCGAGTAGTTCTCATTGACTGGGTCGTGTGCTGATGCCGTCGGTGTTACAGTGCCTTGGAAAAGTACACCACCACTTGTGTGTTTTCATTTTTTTGTTTGTTTTTTTTGTTGTTTTTTTTTGCATTATACCCAAAAATTTGAATACATTTTCTTTGGAAGGCCTGATCTAAAATATTGCACTGTTGTTGTGGCTTTATGCTTGATGGAAGATAAGCTTCTGTCCCCGTCTACAAACATTTTGCAGCATCCAACAGGCTTTCTTCCAAGACTTGTATTCATTTAAACTTCTCCACATCTTTATCCCCAACAGTGATGCCAGATAGGTGGAGTTCAGTCCTTGGATTTAAAAAATAGTTCTGTGTGGGTTGTTAAAATGCAGGCTTCTTTTCACAACATTTGATGGGTTTCTAAGAAAGTGTTCAGATGAGCTATCTTTCCAAGTGCAACAGAAAGCACAAAGCATGTACATTTTAATAAAATGGGCTGGAAATGTGTCAGATCTGGCAACCCTGATTCCTGAGCATCCTGCTGTGTTCCTTAGTTTTCATCATACTAATTGGTCACCAATATTCAATAACAAATCCCAGAGGCCTTTGAAGGACATGTGTATTTATACTGAAGTTAAATTGCATGAGGGTGTATTCTCCTTACTTAGTTTACTTGGTCACTTCTGATTTATCACAGTTTTCTTCGTCCAAAAAAAAAAAAAAAAAAAATTATAGTCACTTTATTACCATGCACTGCTTTTCATGTATCACATAAAAGCCTGACACAACATCACAACATATGGGCCTTTTTTTATAACTAAATACTAAAAAGTTCAAGAGTTACTGTGCAAAGCAGTGAAGAAGAGCCTTCTCATCCTCCCTATAATGATTCACATCTTCTGAGGTGCTACCATAACCCTGGAGGTTTTTCCTAGTCAAATACAAACCGAGAATGCTTCCTCTTTGTACGTATCGGATCATATGTTCTTGCTGCACGGTGCTAAACAAGAAGCACAGCAAAACATGCTTGGTGTTATTGAAAGCATTCTCCTCTACAGGCCATCACTGTAGCTGTTCAAAGATAGATTTAAACTCATCTTCCACTGTTCCTCATCTCCTCAACTCTGTTATGGCCTTAGGCCGCCAGCAATATAAGCTGCTGACAGCATGTATAATGTAGATCCTACTACCAATCTCCAGGTTCAGGGGGCCTTTCGGTTTTCTCTCACATAACGACTCAGAAAAACCCAGTCGCCTTGGGCAGCACTATTAAAACTATTTTTACTGGAGCTAAGATTCCTGGGTACATCTGTGTCTGTGAAAACTCTTTTGAGCTTAACCTACGATTTCAATACGAGGAGCTATATTCCAATTTGCAGCAGAAATGGTGTGACGGATGCGTGGGTGAACCGAAATGTAAAGAGATGAAATAAAAGATTTATGATTCTGAGCACGCAGTTGAAAAAGAAAAAAAAAAAAAGATGTAAGATTATCTGCATTTACATCACTGAGATTTCCCATTGATGTCTAGCAGAGAGGGATGCAAACTGCAGCAATTAATCACATTAAAATCCTGACAGCCCATCATTACCTATGATATATAATTTAGTTAATAAAAAAGAAGAGAGAAGAGGGGGAGGGGGAGTAGCTCTTATTTTAGCTGATGGATCCTGTTACTGTAATCTGCTACAGTATAAAGCAATAATTAAATGATGAGTGCCTGGACTATCACGCATTAGAGGACACAGCTAAATTGTCTGACACAGTCTGCTTGCCTGGGAACCCTGTGCTTCTGATGAATAACTGATATCTGATCTAATTCAATAAATTATCTGCAGCGCTTTCCTTATTTTCCACTTGTAATTTAATGCTAATATTTATCTATCGCTGTTGCTGCCATTTCCTTCTGGTGACTCACTCCAAAGTAAAGCCGATCACTCTGAATCTCCTCGAATTAGACTTCAAGTAGAAAAAAAACAAAAAAAACAAAACGTCATTGTACGGATTGGGAAACCATATTACTCATGTATGGGTTTACTCCAAAACCTACATATACCTTTATTATGAAGGTGAGAGCTTCAATTGGCAGAAGGAGCAGGTTAACACTAGTAGAAATGTGTGTTATCTTCTGAGCTTCTTTGTTCTTTGCAAAACTAGACAAACTGTGAATCTTTGTGAAGACAAGTTCCTTTGTTCGAAATCCATTAAAATGCTCAGTAGGTTTATCTATTTTCAGATAAACATATCCTGTGAATAGGATTATACATTTGTATGCCTGACAGTCTAGACATACAAATGTCAAGTTGTACTGAGAAAACTGGTTATGTTGCTTAGACAGTCATCTGTCAAACCAGCTCAGTTTGACAGATGACTGACTGGTTGGAAACTCAAAAATCCAATTATTTTCCGATCTGTGAACGCACTGAATTAGGTTGCGTTGACGACAGGCTTGGATGCAGTTACTGAGTAAAAGAAACAAACAACTTTTCAATATTATTCAGATGTTTAAGACAAAGTCAGAGGGAGTAAGGAGATATCAGAAACTGTTTTTCGAGAAATAAAAACTAAAACAAAAGACTTTTTCTGTTATAATCTTGTCTCTCTTTTTTATGATAATAACAAAGTAATAGCTCTCACCGTGTGAGTGTTGCCCCTGATTTTGACCCTGCACTAACAGATACTTATTGATAAAGACATTACAAAGAAAAACCTGGCAGACTCCGGGTATAAACTTGAATATGAGTCGTCATCTTTAAACAATGATCTAAAACATATGGCCAGATCCACTCAGAAATGGTTCAGCAGACACAAAACCAACTTTCTTCCATGTTCAGCTCACCCCACAGACAGCCTTAGAGAGAACCCAAGTCTCTGAAAGGTCCAGAGAGAATTGTGCAAACAGGATTTGTCAAACATTCATCAGTGTGTTTGCTCCAACATTGTGACACGTTAAAGTTAAATGTTTTCCTGTTGGAGGCTGTGCAGGTTAGCAACGCAAGTGTCAAAAAATGTGGCATCTTGTTTTAAATAATTACTCTAAATGTGGAATCTATTTACATCGTTGAATAAATGTACTCAATTTTAATGAATGTAATGCAAGTCTTTAGAAGGGAAATGGTGCAACTCAAAAAAAAAAAAAACATGTTAAGATTTTTTTTTTTTTTTTTTTTACACAATTTGTCAGAGGTGCTGGAGAGCACTGTAAAATTTGCTCTCACTATATGTAATAGTGTTGACTCAAAATATAAACCCGATAGACAATTTTTCAACATTCAAATACTATTAATAAACCAATTAAACCAGATAATATCGACACAAACAATATCAACACTGTTACTGCTATTATGCTTTCATGACTATTATTTTATCTTATTGGGAGCAACTGTTTTTTAATAAAAAACATTTTACTCTTTCTTTGGCTCTGCCTGATAATAAATGCGTTCAAGTAAGAGAACACAGGTTTTTTTCATTCTGAAGCAGTCGCAAAGTACACAATTTGTCATTACTAACAAAATTGGCAGCTGCTATTTTCCCAAAAGCAGCTACAGAGCCACACGCTGGCATGTTTTCTTTGTCAGTGGATCAGCCTTTAAACACTCCAATCATTGGATGAGAAGTGGAGTCCACAGGCAACATGTTGCAAACCTCCAGCTCCTCAGCAGGCTAACAGCCTTCTTAATATGCCCCTCTGTGGTTGGAAAACTACTTGTGCCATGTGAATGATGAAGTCAGTGCAAGTAAAATGACTTTGTGTGGTTGCACTGTAAACCAATACAACACTTGTTCCTTCTGTTGTGTTTGTAACAAAGCAGCTGCTCAGTGTTTGCCATCCAGTTCATCAAACCACCAGCAATAAGAGCGCGGCCAAAACAACCACCGCTGAATTTTTAACTTCTGCAGAAGAGAAATATACATTGTGATTCATTTCTTTCCTTCTGTTACCTTTGGAGAGACTCTTGGGCTCCTACGTATAGCTTTTTTTTACTTGTCTAGGAACTTTTTATAGGTAACCGATGGCATTGTCTTGAGTTGTTTGAGTTGTTTTGGGTTTGGGTGTGTTTATTTTTTCTCAGTTTGTTAGTTTTTATTCTGTGATCAGATCAGCCGTGTGTCTGTTTTTCTTTGCTTCATTCTTTTCTTAGTTACTTTAGTTTCATTATATTCCTTGTGCCTATTTATTTGTTAGAGTTAGATTCATTTTTCCCAGTTACCCAGCTTGCATGCTCTCCCTCACCCCCGGTGTCATTCTCTCTCTCTCTCTCTCTCTCCTCAGCCTGCCTTCTGCTCTCTCCTCTCACACCTGCAACCCATTTCTAATCACCCATCTGTTGCTTGTTCAGTAATCAACCTCCCCAGTATATGTACACCTCATTCTCAGTCACTCCTTACTGGTTCCTCCTGTTAAATCCAGTTTCTTCCCCGTTCACTTTGCTCTTCATTTCTGTGATCATTTTTTTGTTCTGCTCTGGCTCCCTGGTCATCTCCGCCTCGCTGCCTTTGAGTCCTTCAACATCACACTTATCGTAACAGACATGTCGTCCATAGAGGTTTAATCAGAGTTTGACATATGGCCAAATGTATGAAAAAAAAAATCCAAAAAAAGTACACAGAAGTAAGATAAAGGTATTGTTCAGACTGTTTTGGTGTTCAATTACATATTGTTGCTAATTCCTGCCTAAAATAAAATAAAATCACTAAAACTATCATTTATTGGTCTAAAACTTCTGAAAATCCATTATGTTCCTTCTGCATGGTAAGGCTTGTTGTTAATTTCATTAAAAAAAGTCAGGAAAAACATCTGCATTATATTGCTACTAAGCTATGAAAGCTGTTCAAAGACAGTTTTCCTGCTCTTGATAACAATCACATTTGCTTATTTTGCCCCTTTGAGGATAAATATTGCCCTCACTTTCATTCACTGTGATGCAAGTTCACCTATTTTTTTTTTTCCTATTACCTTTGTAGAGATTCTTGGGCACCTGGCAGGTGTGACCACAGCCGTTGCTGCAGCACTTTTTGACTGTGGAGCACTCTCCATCCTCCTCACAGCTCTCTACGCAGGCTGCAGCAAAGCCGCTGGCCTTCTCTGGCGCGGGGCAGTCGCCTTGCTTCACCCCCTCAACGGACTTCAAGAACTCGCAGCTTGTAAGACACTCGTAGTGCTTCTTGGGAAAAAGGGGCTAAAGAGAGAGGAAAGAGGGGGAAGGAGAGGGAAAATATATGTCAGATTAGTTTTTAAATGGCTGGCTGCAAACAAGCAGCTCTTTGACTTAACAGTGACTGTCCTGTTTAGATTTCAGCTTGTGAGTCACTGAAACGGTGAGCATATTAAATGGCTCTGATTCAGTCTCTCAGGAGGGTGTCTTTACAGCGCAGAAAGAGTTACTTCACACCCCTTTCAGACTTTCCCCTCGGTGAAATTTCCCCACTGGGTCTCAGAAAGCTCAAACCCTGGAATCCTGAGGTATAAGCTCAGTTATTCGTGGTAGTAGTAACATACCTCACATAAATCTTGGCACTGGTTTTCCTTCAGGTCCCAAGATTCCTTGCAGGGCTCCAGACACTGGAAAAAGGAGAAGGGTGTAAGTTCTTCAAAAGACGCAGCCACATCAAAGACCAGCTGCTGCGGAGCGCGGACCAGCATCTTAACTGACACCTCGCTGAGGCGCTTCCTCCGCCACATTCACAACAACCAGTCACACCGTGTTTTGTTACAAATGCCAGGCATGCCTTCAAAGGACACTCACTGTCTACTACAAAAGCAAATGAGGGTCTGCAGACAGAATCAAGGCCGCTGTGGAAATCTACTCATGCTTGGCTTGGTATGATGTCACCCTGACAGATCTTTCCTTTTCACCTTAAACAAGACCTAGCCAAAACATGCAGTGTCTTGCAAAAGCATTCATACCCCTTAAACCTCGCACATTGTCACGCTGCGACCACAAACCTCAGTGTGTTTTATTTCAATTTTACATGGACAGTGCATAATTGTGAAATAGGAAGTAAAGGGTTTCACGTTTTTCTTTTTTTTACAGATAGGCGCCTCCTTTCTACTACTAAGTAGAAAGTAGTGCAATCAACTGCTTCAATATGCCAACTACTTGACAAGAGTTAGTTTAATCTCAGTTGTAAGTAAAAAAATAAAAATAAAAAATTGACCAACATGTAAAGCAAAAAACTAGCTTAGCACATCACCATGCTGAAACATGGTAGTGGCGGCATCATACTGTGAGGTCAGAGTTAATGGGATGAAGGAAAATACAGGGCAATCCTGCAAAAAACAAAAAAAAAAACAGTTGCAGACTTGAGTTGTGGTGAAAGTTCACCTTACAGTAGTAGCAAAAATACTTTAAGACATTGTAAGAATCTAAATACATAAACTAAATATTATGAAAATTAAACATGACAAAAAAGATAGGTTCATAGTGCAAAGCTCACATGGAAGGTATCAGCATCTCAGATATCACATTTTTTTTCAGCGTATATGGTCATAACATAAGAACATCTGATATGTAGGCTATTATAACACTCACTAACCCATTGTGTCTGAATATAGTTGCACACCGCACATTTCAGGCTTTTATTTCCACAACGTTGTGTTTGTCTGCCACCAGGGTGCCCAACTTCAGTAACTGAGAGCTGCTATCCACCAACATTTAGATACACCCCTTCTCCAACACACCTGAATCAAATTAATGTCTCGCTACCAGACTGCTGCAGAGCTGAATGACATTCTGATGAGGGGTTTCAACATTTCAATTCAGGCGTGCAGGACAAAGCATGCATCCAAAAGGTGCAGATAGCTCTGAAGGGCTGAACCCGGACACCCCTAGTCTATCACGTAAAATCTTAAGAAAAAAAAACAAAAAACAAGTTAATTGATGTTAGCGGTTGATAAGTGAAAAATGCTTATGAGGCAAGGCTTTGTGGTGCATGATGCACTCTGGCACTGGGAATGAACTCCTCTTTAAAGAGTTTAAAACATGTTACACTTGGTTTAGAGTTCATGGGATTCAGATTTTTCTTTTTTTTTCTTTCAACACAGGGAACGCATTTACCAAGCGCTCGACACAGGCACGGAATTACAGAAAAACCTCACGATGAACGAAGCTCAAACTCAATTTACCAAGCATAATGAGATGATACAATTTAAAAAAAAAAAAAAAAAGAAGCTCTGCTGCAATACCAGTCAACCATTCTCGCTTTAGACACGACAACAGACACCGAATCAGATTCAATAAAACAGCCGCGGTACCTCCAGATCGTTCTGCAGACAGAGTTCAGATGCAGAGGAGCAAGGCTTTTTATGTTCTCCTGCAGCTGGTGTGAAAGAGAAGAGCAAGCTCAGGGAAACCACTGCCAGGCAGCATCTGCACAGCACTGGGAGCAGCCCAAACCGCACCACCCGACAACCTGCCAAAGTCCCTCATTCAACCCTACTTAATTTAGCCTCTTTCATCGACTACAGCGCTAAAGGTAGATTGAATAATGGACTTTCAAGACGTTCTCCTTTATTTCTCATCCAGTCCAACATGTGAAAAGGACTTGCAGAGTTATGTAAGGTACAGTGCAGCAGAGTGGCTCAATGAGGGCATTTATCGTACAGCGGGGACAGCATTAAACACTGTGGTTGATGTAAGAAATCTCACATCTCAGTCAGAAGGCCAGATTTGTATTTATTGCTATTTAATTCGCTCATTAGGCAGCTCTGTCATTATTTTACCATCCCTGGTGTAAAGTTTATTTGATTTTTATGGAGTGTGGTGGACGGGTGCATTATGAAACATAAACCTTGCTTCTGAAGGACACGCTGCAATCAGGGGAAGACGCCCAACAGCCTGCCAGCACTCCATTACACTCAGTCTCTCGTTGCTTCGCCAGCATCGTTTCCGGCAGGAATAAGCTCGGGCGCGGACGAGGTGACGAGTTCCTTACTGCTGGCTCGAGACTGTTGGGAGGGAAGGTATTTTCCTAATGACTTCATAGCAATGCAGATATCACTCCTGTAATTTCAGGCGTACGAGTGTCAAGTGAAGAGATAATTGGTGGAAGATGAGAGCTTGAAAAGGAGCTAATGTGGTTTGAGACAGAGCCAGGCAGGTGAAAACTCTGCAGCAGCTCAGGGATTTGAGATGACACTTGAGCTCTGCCGAGCAGTCCGAGGCAGGCGTCAGCCTATGAAGATGAAAATCATCCGCTATTCATAATCTGTCAACTTTATATCATTATTCTGATCTGGGCTGCGAGCGAGAACTGCATCCCCAAGCCTAAACAACAAGCAGTTGGACTGGTGACAAGGAGCTGCACCGCAGCCTAAAGGACATTCCACCGATAGATGCACATGAAAAGCCTCCAAATCCCCTCTACAAATCACTAAACATACACACATAAGCCCAGGGATCAAGCACATTCTGCTCACTGAACAATCTTCAATCACAGACTGAACGTATTCCTCTGGCTTTTCTTAAGGTGCAAACTCCCCAGCTACTCATGCGACGTTACAGTCAGTGTCACCTCGAGATGGTCTAAGCTTCTGTGCCAAGCTGCATGAATTAGCACAGCACATTGTGTACCAGAGATATTGCAACACAGATCCGAAAGCTGGCTGTGAGTTTAGTGTTTTCTCACCCACATATAACAATTCTTTTTTGTTGTTGTTGTTGGTTTTAGAAGTTTCCCTCTAAATGAAAAAGAAATTAACTGAATCCTACCAGGAACTTCTGCAGGTAGTGGGTTTTATCGTAAATGACACTCTTAATAAAAGATAAGTATCGGTGTTGAGGCAGATAGCTCCCTGCAGGTGTGATGGAAACTGCCAATCTGTCAGCGTTCCTCGCCAGCCACACCCACTAACCTGACATTTCAGGAGGGGAGAGGAGGGCCGACGACAGATGTTTTGCCAAAGCAAATGGGATAGCTGGATATAATTACAAAGGTGCTATCATCAATCAAGTTCCTGATTCTTATTTACACAGTTTGGTTCTCAATCTAAACCATGTTACTGACGCTGCCAAGGGAGGTAAAACAGCTTGAAACACAGCCAGAAACTTTACTTCTTCTTTGCCAGATTTTTTTTTTCTTCTGCCAGGAATATCTAGCCTACAACAGAAAAGAAAAAAAAAAGATTTTGAGTTTCAGTGTTTTGGTAAAGTAATTACACACTTCACATTTTTTTTTTACATTGTTGCACTGTTTATATTACAAATAAAAATCTCAAAACTGAGAAGTGCATTTGTATTTAGCCCCCTTGAGGTAAAACATTATAAGATCGACTTTAACTGCAACTACTGCTGTGAGTCTTCTGGGGTACGTCTGCACCCGGTTTACACATCTAAGTACTGAAATTCAGCTCATCCTTCTTCACTCATGGTCAGTCAGGTTAGATGGAAAGTGTCTGAACATAAATCTTTAAGCCTCACCAGAGATTCTCTATCGGATTTAGGGACGGGCTTTGACTGAGCCCTTCTAACTCTTTATTTACACCAGAGATGGCCCACTTGAGTCCTCAAGAGCTGGTGTCCTGCTTGTTTTAACGATTGGGTAAAATATTAAACTTCAACCTAGTCCACGCCTCCAATAAGCAAGAGTTTCTCGTAGCCGAGAGTCCGGACCCTCTGTGCTGCGCTCCCATACGAAGCAAAGCGTAGAACACCACACTTTCTACGTGTGGTGTTCTACACGTAGAACACCACACAGATGTGGTGGACAGATAAAAAGTCCCCTCAGCAGGGGACTTTTTATCCCCTGCTGAGGATAAAAAGTCTTATATGATGCTGCTATCCTTCTGTTTCAATGTTTCATAATTTTTGTATGGTGGTCCAAAATGTCACCTGAATTTATTTTGGGGTATCAGACTAAAAGCATGCTGTAAACAAATCTAAATCTCACTTTCAGAGTAAACAATAATTTGAAAGCCATGCATCATTTCCCCACTTCATAATTTTGCACATCTTAGATAAAAAAATCATAATATTGAGAAAAAAATGAACAACCAACAACATCTGGTAGTTGTCAGTTTACGGAGCATAACTGAAACGTGCTTATGTTTGGGGTTTAAAATGTGCAACATTGATTCTACTGCTAACGGTTAATATCTGCAAATTAAAATATACCAAAAATAACAAACAGAAGAATCTTTTATTTCCACCAAGGAACCCAGCAAACATTTTGCAACATATTGTTATGCTAATAACTTAGTAATTGACTTTTGGTAATTAATTTGAGAAAATACACCAAGTAACTCGAGAGGAGGACATAACTGAACTGGACGCAGCACATGTTCTCGGTAGGGGAGCCGTCACTGGGTTTCCCTCTAGCACATTTCTCTAACTGCCAATCCAGCTACCATCTGTTTGAGTCACACGAGGAACCCATGTAATTATGCTATGCGATGTTAACATATTTCTGGACTAATTTCACCCAAAGGGGCATAAGTGCTCTCCTCTAAAACAAATATGAGACCAGCGGGTTGCTTCCCCTTATTGGAGCTTTGAGCCGCGGCAGAAGCATTTTGCTTGGGCTTCTGATTTCCTCTTTGTCCTCTTATCGTCCTGACAGTGACAC